CCAATGTTTGTTGGGAAGCAGAGGAGGCTTTACGACAAGTTGAGGAGCAAGAAAAAGTGCTGTGAATAAATAAAAAGGAAAAAACAAAAAAGGGGACTAATGTGGATGGATTCGAATGATAACTTTAATTATGATTTGATTTATATAATATATTCGAGTTAAATTAATAAGAGGAGGTGGATGAGTTTTTTAATTAATTAAATTATAATATTTTTAAATATTACAATTTGATTAATAAAAAATTTCATCTTTCTTCTTTCATTCATTTCACTCAAATCAACCGTACTAGTAAGGTATAAATTTTAGAACATCGTTTTTAATTTTTTTATTTAATTAATTTAATTGTCTATTAAACAAAAAAAGGTGGACATGAAACTCCCAAAACCTTTTTTTTTTTTTTTTTTAAAGAAAGGGTTAAGGTTTTTTAATTTATATATACATCAGGTTTGCCATAACTCATAAGTAACGTTGACTGACTCATTTTGCAATCAATTTGAAAGTTCAAACAATTTTGGGTAGAGGAGTAATTTGCATTCATTTATCATTTGACTAGGCTAGGGATGTCAACGGGGTCTCACGGGGCAGGGGAGTCCTTCCCCATCCCCATCCCCGTCCCCGCGAATGACGGGGACAGGGATCCCCGCGGGGATTTTTGACGGGGACAAATTTTGCCCTCCATCCCCATTCCCCGCGGGGAACGGAGATTCCCGCGGGGATCCCCATTCCCCGTCAATTAACATCAAAATACATATTTTTTACATCAAACATAAGTAAAAATTAATGAGGCGTGCATCAAACATATAGTGAGTGAGGATGATGGGATATTGCAGCTTCGACAGCAACTCTAGGCTTCAGCAGCAGATTGACAACAACTCCAGGCTCCAGCAGCAGATCAACAGCAGTTTCAATAGCAGATCTATAGCAGTAGCAGCAGATCTGTAGCAACAGCAACAGATCTGTAGCAACAGCAGCAGCATATCTATAGCAGCAGCAGCAGCAGATTTGTAGCAGCAACAGTAGCAGATTTGTAGCAGTAGCAGCAGCAGATCTGTAGCAGCAGAAGCCAAAAGGGAAGGAAAAGTCGAAGGTGAGGTTGTGAGAATGAGTGAGGAAAATTGCAGAAGCAAGAAAGGGAGGGCTATGAGGTGTGCTGCGTGAGTGAGAAAGGGAAATGAATAGGGTTAGGAAATTAGGGTTGGAAGGAGGATGATGGGTTGTGTTGGGATGGGATGGGATGGGTTGGGTTGGGTAAAATTTAATTTTTATTGAATTGGGTTTGGGTTTGGGTTTAATTTTAAAAATTAAATTAAATTTAAAATAGAATTAATTTATATACATTTTTTACATTTTTCGC